AAAGAGAGAGGGGGCGTAAGGGACCAAACTCAGCATCAGAAGCTCCCTCACGCCCTCTGTCTCTCTCTCTCTCTCTCTCTCTCTCTCTCTCTCTCTCTCTCTCTCTCTCTCTCTCTCTCTCTCTCTCTCTCCCCCCCCCCCCCCCCTTGAGTGTGCGTGTATGTGCCCTTCTCTCTCCTCCTCTATCTTCCCTCTCCTCCTCCGCTTCCTCTTCCTCTCTCTCTCTCTCTCTCTCTCTCTTACTTCCCCTATTCCTCCTCATCCTCATCCTCCTACTTCAAGTCGCTTCATTGCATGGTGAAATAGCAGTACAGGGGCTGAAAACAAACCAGACCTGCCATTCAGCCCTCTCTTTGCCTTTCTCTTCCGTGCCACTCTGAGTGAATACTGTCAATTTGCAGTGTGCGCCCACATGCAAAAGGGCAAAAGGAGAAACTGCTGTGGAAACGGGGGGGCAGAAAGGGTCAGGAATTCTCTTCCTCTCCGCTGCATTGAGGGCTCGGACAGCCAGCTGGTGCGCTGAAGAGCTGTGCGGACTGAATAGACCCCATGCAGCAGTGAAAGAGAGAAGAAAACAACTCTGCCGTAAACCACCAGTACACGGCCCCAGCCTTGCAGATAGATTTCGTCGACACCAACTTCAGATTTTGGGGCTGGGTGGGGCGAGGATCCGTAGAAAAAAAAAAATTGGTAGCCTCTGAAGTGAAACCGGTGCAACGACTTGCTGATTTTGGTGACCTGTAGCCCATCGAGTCGAGGCTGTGCCATAGGTAGGTTAGATTCGTAATTTTGTTCGGCTGAGGGCTAACCGCGACAGCTAACTGTGAGGAAATTCGTGAGGGACATATCTGCAAATTCAGGAAAATTATAGTCCCGCACTAACTGAATTCCCTACAGCTTCCCTAACTGCGAATAGCAGGCCCGGGCTACCCCTAGGACAGACAGGCCCTAAAGGCCTACGCTGATAGACGGTCCTATAGACTAAAGCAGGGTAGGGAGAGGCCCTAGAGGCCGAAACTGAAACGGTACGGTCGGTCCAGTCAGTCCGGTCTAGGTCGTGTCTAGGCTAGTGTAGTCTATAGATAGATTGTAGACATCGGTTCAGGGCTTTTGGCAGTTGGTACCGTGTACATCGCTGCTGTGCAACGCGTGAACTGGAGGTGGTGACAGTTTCAGCGTTGAGGAAGACAGTCATAGCTGGACCTTCGGAGTGTCGGCCATAGCTGGGGCCGGCGCTGTACTCTGACAGCACGCGGGCCTGTTCAGAGGTCCAGGCTATCCAAAGTCTGCTGGAGGCGGGAGAACTTGGTGCCCTGCTGGACCCTCCTCCGGAGTAGGGTCTCAGTGTGCTGGCGCTGCAGCCATAGCTGCAGCTTTTTCCTCAGAGAGTATCTTTGTCAGGAGCTGCTGCAGACTTCCACTCAGGAAGTCATCTGGCACTTCATCATCATCAGACACTGTGGCGCTGGTCTTCTTCTTCATCCTCTGAGAGGCGCTTGGCCTCAGAGGCCTGTTTCAGGGTGGCGCTTCCCTCTGGAGGCAGTATCTGGGTGGCGCTTGATGTTTCGGGGACTCAGGGGTAGTTCTAACGGTTACTCAGGGTTGGAGAGTGAAGCGCTGCTCATTTCTGAGCAGCGCACCATGGTTCTGGGATTCTTCTGACATTCTGAGACTCTGAGTTTAATAAACAGTGTATATACTGTGTGTGGACTATCGTTGCTTCATTGTTTCCTGGATGTGATCTACTCAGCTTTCCTTTGTGACTGGTTGTGAGGATTCTGTGGAGCAAAGTGCACTTTCAGTGTTCTCTGTCATATCGCATGGCCAAGTCTTCCACTGTGTTTATCTCTCCCTGTGCGGTGTGATACTCCCATCCTCTCCCCTTCCTTCTGCATATGTATGGGCATACCTGGAAGTCTATGTGAGCGAGTGTTGGTCTTCTGACAACAAACAACCAGGTTCATAGCACCGGTGTCAGCCTGACACCAGTGGTGCCATTTCGGAGGCCGCCATACATCAGGCTGACACCGGACGCAAAGAAATCGCCGGCCTCCAAAGTCGTACCGGATTTTCAAAACATTGGCGGCCGATGTATGGTGTACTGGTGGTTTAACAGTACTTGGCCCAGCTATCGACCGTGGAAAAAAATGGAGTAGAAACGTTTCTACCCGTATGAATTTGGGCACTCCTGTAGTGGCCCCTACGTTTCCTAAAATTGTGGCTTGTTAACGGGCACAACTTTTGTACGTACTGGTGGTCCTGCGAAGCCTCTTCTCCTTCCCTAGGTATAGGGTATATAACCAAGCTGTTGGAACGACCCTGCAAGAAAGAGAACCGGTGATCTTGGGCTAAACAGCCAGACGCCTTAACCACTGCAACCGTGACCCGGTGTTCGAAAGTGGAACCATACCGCTCGTGACATCCAACCCACCCCTGCACGGTTGCAGTACACACACACACACACACACACACACACACACACACACACTCCACTAGGCATCCATCAAGACCCTCTCGCAGGGGACTAGCCCTGCTCGTAGCCACCAAACTGGGTATTATCTTCCAGCCAGTTACCGTGCCAAGCAATGGGTATTTAACCACGCTGTTGGAAGGACCCTGCAAGGAATCAAACCGACGATCTCAGGCTAGACGCCTTCCTTACTTCTGCCATCATTGCACAATGATTGCACAATGATTGCATAATGATTGCACAATGATTGCATAATGATTGCACAATGATTGCACAATGATTGCACAATGACCCGGTGTCCTTCCCGTAGTTGTGCCATCATTGCACAATGACTGCAACCATGACCCGGTGTCCTTCCTTTAGTTCTGCCATCATTGCACAATGATTGACCGGTGTTGTGGCAGCTGCGTCGACTCTTTTGCGTCACTTTTGTCTGAGAGTGACTCCAATTCGGAAGAGCCTCTACTTCATTGCACATGGACGCTTCTGTACATTAGATACATGTATTGGAAGCATGCATGTATTGCAAGCAGACTTGTGCAATGTATGCTTGTACATGCTGAAAGGTGCAATGCACGCTGTCAATCATTGCACATGTATGCTTCTGTAGAATCTGTACATGTCCACGTTTACGCACATGTACGATGCATATACACTTGTGACACATGTATATGCAGTGATTGATTGACATGTGTAGGACCCTGTAGGTGCATCATTGCACATGTAAATGCTGGTTGCTACCGTAGGTGGGGACCAAGAAATTGAGCTGTAACAGTGCAGTGATTGGCATTTGCATGCGCAATGAGTCCGGCCCGGCCGCCGCGAACGAAGCAGCGCACCTGCCTATGCTGTGATGCTCAGAGGACTACTTCACCTAACCACCAGTACCTCAGGGGGTCTTAGGCCCCCTCTGACGCGAATGAATATAGACCCGCACAGTGCACCGATTCATCCACCACATTAACGCCTAAAAACGCACTAGGTACTGGTGGTTTAAAACAGAGAGCGGGCAACTGCCTGAATTCGAGCGGAAAGGCACAACGACAGACATGTTTGTTTGTGTGCGTGTTCCAATTCAATTTATTGGTGGCACCAAGCCATCAGCAGGACACCTGAGCTGTTGAGAGAGACCGGAGAAGCGGCACGGTGGTCCAGGCAGACTCACAGAAAGACGTTTTTTTTTAAGTGAATTTGCCCAGACGCATCCAGAAAAAAGGACCAGGTGGGTGGGATAGTCTCAAACAATGAGGACGGCGAAGACCTGTTTGAGATCTCCCGGCAGGATATGGATAGGATAACAAGCTTAGGACAGTCCACGGCAGGTTCCCAAGAAGGGGAGGGGCCGTTGGATATGGACACGGGGGGGAGTGCGCCTTCGTAGGCTGTTCCTTGGGACGATGCTAACCTGATCTAGCCCGGTAGTACCTGGAGGATGGAGGGATTCAGGAATATGGCAAACGAGAGGGAGCGCCGGAGGGACTGGAAAGATCAAGGGATCATCATTCGGTGTTGGAACGTGAATGGATTGGGAAATGTCATAGATAAAGAAGAAAAATGGAATGACATAGCCCAAGGACTAACAGTTAAAAACAAAACACCAGCTGACGTGATAATGCTGCAAGAAACCCATCTATCATTTTCGACAGAACACAACAGAATCAAAAAAATTGTGACAAGGAAGCTGGGAGGCATCAAAGATGAAATATGGGTGGCAGATAACGTCTCGAGTACGAAGGGCACAGCAATCTTGATCCCCAACTCCTCACGTTTTTACGTGGCAGGAAGTGTTCTGAACAAGGAAGCGGACCTTGATGAGGG